TGGTCAAGTTATTCTTGTTTAAAGTTATAAAAAAATTTTCTTATAAAAAATTTGCTTGATTTCTATTGACTCACCCCCATATATTCAAAGGAGAAACTAAATTAGGAGTAAATATTATCAACTTCTGGGTCCAGCAGAATAAGGAATCCAAGAAAAAATTTGTTGAATCCAAAACCTTACAGGATAGTATTGATCTGCATTTTCCATAAGTTCGTAAGTTCAGAAGTTCGGACTACAATGGATTTGCCATAAATTAATAGCAAGGCTTTGTCCTTTTGGTAGCATGTATGGACGTATTTAAGTTTTTTAGCTGCTATACGTGGAGATATTATTGTTAATGTTGGATACAAATGAAGAGCTTCTTTGATAATGCAATGATGTATTTAAATTCCTGTGATTTATTTTTTATTTTTATTTTTTAAAAAGCGGTCTTTTCTCATATCCTTTATTAGTCAAAATATATTAATATCTGTTACATGTTATGATACATTTCTTTAGACTAACTATGGGAGTGGGGTTAGAGCAATTGTCTTATTCACTATCAGCATCATCAGAAGGATTAATTTCGTGATCACTGGCGGCATATTCTTCATCTTTTGGTTGATAATCCGATCCACTATCACTACCTAAAGCTTCTTCGGGTTCAGACAATTCAGTACCATCGTCTGAGCCAAAAACTTCTTTGTAATCATCATCGCCTGCCTTTTCTGATACCGATGTTACAGAATCTGTTCCAAAAATTTCTCGAGATAGTTTGGAGGTGGAAGAAGTTTGGCTAATGTTTGAAACAGATCGACTCATCGGTTCACCTATTTTCTCTTGCGAACTAAAAGTGATCTCATCTTCATCTATTCTAAAATCAGTTGAAATCTCATTCGAAAGTGAACTAAGATCATCAGACGCTTGTTGAGAATCATCATTCGTTGAGATCTTTGCTATTTTTCTTGCAAGACTGGATTGAGTTGATCGAGTTGATTGACGTCCTGTGGAATCTTGAGAGTCGGCATCGTCATCATCAATATATTTCCGTTTTGCACTTTCACGAGCAGCTCTCGCTCGCGTCATGTGTGGTCCTGCAGAATAAGTATAATCTTCGTCATATCTACTTTTAGTAGATGAAGCAGAAGATAAATTTGATGTTGATTTTTTATCAGGGTCAAGACCTATCGCTCTCCTTGTACCACTGCGTGTACGACTAGCAATAACTTCAGAATTTGCATGTAATAAAGCAACTCTCTGTGCCAATTTTTCTTGACGTAACTTTCGAGCTATTCGTCTTTCCTTTGCCTAATAGTAAATTATATTAACAATCTAAAATTTAAAAAATAATTAAATTACGAAATATAATGATCACCTCAATAGATTGTTTGATAATGGGTATGAGATCTTTTGTAAATTTGTTGTATAAAGCTTTATCTTTACCGGTGGCCGATTTCAACTCTTTAGAATCATTAATATAATTTTCAAGATCTTCTAAGGTCGTTGATATAACTTCCCAGATGAACTTTTTAGATTTATTGCTTTTATGGGAAACTATGGTCTCCCGATAAACTCTTGCGCCATCTAATTGTGGTTAAAAACAAATTATAAATATACATACTCATCAAAACATATTAGTATTATTATCCAAACCTACATCCAAAATAGTAAAATTTGCGCCCTCTTCGATCTTCACCAAAAGGTTCTACTACTAAAGAATTCCCCTCATTTCGCTTTGATGATCTGTATTCTTGCTCAATTAATTTGCGTACTTCTTTACCTTCCTGCAATTGCCATGTTACAAGAGTATTCAAAATCAAGACCTGTAAAAAAAAAACAGATTAATTATATATTTAACATAAAATAAAAGTAAAAACTGACTCTTATAAATCATATCAATGAACCTTATCTCTAACATCAAGTTCATAATAATTCTTAACCCTACGAAGTGGATTGTAATCTCGATAAAATTGATAATTTTTTTTAAGTTTTTGATCGATGGTTTCAGATAATAACTTTCTCCATACTTGTCGTCTATTTTAATCGGAGAGTTGATTGCATGAAAAATCAAATCAATTATATAATCATTAATAATTAAATCTGATTGCAATTCACTCACGAGACTGGCTTTGTTCTATTTAAACAGTTTGTCAAAAAAATACAATGCACTTGGTCGATCAAATCACTATCAGCTTCAGTAGCGAGTGCACCTTCTAATTCCTGTATGCATTTCGTGACATAATTACGCTTCATTAATATTTTGATCCGAAAAATCTATTATTATACATGATCTTTTAAATAATAATCACTTCTGGCCAAAACTCAAAACCTTTAAAAAGAGGCTTGAATTTTTCACAAAAGGCAATTATAAATCCCATCTCCGGCATCGAACGAGCGATATTTTCATTTTCAGCGTTTGGTTGAATTTCCATCGACATTTTATTATTATTTTTGCACTGTTTCGGATTCAACCGTTTACTTGTTTATAATAAAAGTTTGTGATCCAAACTTAAAAGATGAAAATCTAAAATTAACGATATCAGTATTGTGTTTTTTTTTTTCCTTTGTTTCTTTTTAAGAAGAAAAAAAAAAAAGGTATACATATCACAATGTTAAGAATGCATTTAAGCTCGCACTATCTTTTCTTTTCAGAAATAAAACTTACATGATAATATCTATCAACGCTAAAGTAGATCGCGTACAAAACTCATACACTATTATTATTTTGGGCGAGAACAATCAAAAAGCATCCAAGAAATTGTTTATAGAATCTTATCCAAACAGGAAAAATTTTCAAAGTTTAAAATTATGATGATCAGATCAGCTTGGCTATTTATAAAATATCAGAAGTCGTACGACACAAGAAAGGAAATATGTCATACTTGTGTAATACTAGTTGCAACAATTCTTTGTCTGTCAGATGCAAAGGGGTAATAGTTTGAATATATCTATTATTTCAGTTCAAGAGAACAATTATAGTTTGTAAAAACGTGCTATTTTGTTATATATCTAAAGTTCTCCGTTGATTCTTTTATGATAATAGATTTACAAAAAAAGAAAAATCCTTTTGTTTTTAAAATTGGCAATGCTTAAAAGTTTGCTTATTTATCTAGTAATTGAAAATGTTAAAACTAATCTATTTCAAATAATATTACACAAATTTGTTTATACGTATTATATACAATAATTATACGTAGTAGTTATAATATTATTATTTACAATTTGTTAATATACAGTATATACAGTATAAGTATATAATATAGTATTAATATATAATATAACAAATACAAATATATATATTAAATAACATTTATTATAAACCGGGTTCTATGTTAATAATCCTAAATCTTATAATCGACCAATTAAATTTGATCGTGTGATTCGTGTGATCACATGATTAACCAATTACACAAAAATATTAAAAAATTAATTTATTAAAAAAATAAAAATATTTATACGTATAAACATTTTTTTTATATTATTAATAGTTAATATACTATGTATAAAGATGTAAATTTTTATGATTAATGCGCTACTATAACGTAATATAAAAATTATAAAATACTATTACGAATGATAAATTATTAACTAATATTTATCACAGGTGATTATTAGTGTATAAAATCTTACCTCAAAAACATGTGAATATTTTTTTTTTTGTTGTTAAGGTGAGGCCTTGCTTATATCTTTATTAGGTAATTTATATAAGTAATTACATAGAAACTATATAAAAACTAAGTTTGTATAATAACAAGTATT